TATGCAAATGTGGAGGTGTTAAAGAGGACATCGACATGCTTTTTGCTTCAAAGCCAAGTGATTTCTTTAATCATGGCATTAACAACCTGATTGTAAGATGGAAAAGCATCATTGATAATAATGGAGACCATTTCATTTAATAAATGTTTTGGTTTGATATGTAAGTTGTTCGGGTTTTTCATCTAAAAAAAAGCAACATTAATTTCTTAACGACCTAATATTTGTCTGTCTGTCTCTCGATCACTTGCTGATTTCATAGCATCATATTACATAATTTAAGTAGTTTGGCTTTCTGTCAATTAGAAGCGAGTAGTCTACGATTGATCAAAAATTAAAGATATATTTAGAATAAAATGTACAAACAGTTGCACCTTTTTCCCAATTTGAAAACATATCTTTGTTAAATCATCGAGTTATGCCAGAAAGGACGTAAATATATTTTAGTAGACATTTTATACAACATATTAAAAACTTATGAAAGTTTTTAAAAAGGTCTAACATTAGTCAGAATATTATTAGAAGATTATTTATTGATAGTATTAAGTGCACTAAGGTTTAGCCCTAACTGAACTAAAGCATAAAACATACACAGGTTACAGTGCTAATTTATCTCTTTATTGATTATAGGCTGTACTTAATAATGGCTTAACCAATGTTAGGACTAAAACAAGTGGACAGATAGATTTTGGTGTTTGGGATTAGAAATCTTTTGTATTTTTCTAGAAATCCTGTATTTAAAGAAGTACTGTTGCAATAAAGATACTAATTTGACTGCAAATGTTTTTTGGGTCTCTATTTTTAGTTTTGATTGTTGTGAGACATTATATATTTTAACACTGCATTCTTTATCTGTTCCCTTTGGGATTTTCGAGATTTAGAAGAGTGTATAATATTCAAATTTTAGCCAATGATGCATTTTGCTCTTGAAAATACCTAAGGGACTACATAAAGAATGCAGTGTTAAAAATATAATAGACCTAATACTGTCTCACGACGAGTTTAATTAATTAAAATCATGCTTTACCAGCTTGAAAAAGGCTTTTACACCATAAAAAGACAATCATCTGTTACTAGTATTAAATATAATAGAATTTAATGTGCATTTATAAACATATTTATTACAACCTCAAAAAGGTAATTATGTCTATAAAAATCACTAGTTAGGTCTCACTCAGAATAATGCATAAACTTTTGGTTTTATCTAAGAAAGGATATTGACTTATTGGAAAGGGATTATATAAGGGCTACTAGAATGATTCCAAAAATGGAAAGATATCATATATGTACAGATTTCATAACTTGTTTTGTCTAGATTATCTGGGAAATCTATAGGATAAAAGCATTTGATGGTTTGTAGCTTGCAACAGTGATTGTTCTTCCACTGAGAGCTGACATCATATTCATAGTGGATGTTGCTATTGTATGAAACAGCATTGAACCTGCCTCTTGATCAGCATGTGGTGTGAAGTTAAAGCCAATGAGAATGAACTTGTCAGGGTTTGAGAAAATTTAAGCTCCTAAAAGACTATTGTGTCATAAAGTTTTCTCAAGCAATAGAGCCAATATTATGCATACAGCAGTTAAAGTTGCATTTCATAACTTTTACAGCTATGTTCAAAATTCAGTCACTGTATGTCAGTACATTTGGCATCAAAACATATTTTATAATGCAAGTTGTGTATTATCTAAGTCTTAATTTCAAAAGGAAATATTTCCAAGATATGTAATAATTTTTCTGTGTCTTGTGTTGCATTTTAACATGAATTTCTCCATTTCAGATTTTATAACTTCAATCATACATGCACAGATGATCATAGTTTTTTCTCTGTTTTTAACCTATTTATAGCTTAGTTAGAGAGCCAGATGACTTATAGTGGTTTTGAGACATTCTATTCTAGAGACTGATAATTTTTTGAGTTCTAAAATCCATATTTGAAATTTACGTGAACTATTTTGTGAATAATCATCTTAGTTTGGGAAAATTCAGGTTAATGAAGACCACTTGCTGAAAGTGAAAGACCTAAATTTTGAAGAAAGTGCTACATTTATTGTTTTTACAAAAAGTAACTAAGATTAGGTAACTAAAATACAATAATTTGAAATTTCATGGGTTCATGAACACATGTTCATTCAAGTTCTGAAAACTCACAGTATACACAATTTGATCATTTGTTTACCTCATGTAATGGAAGAGCTTGGTCTCCATGGTGATTTTTTGCTCTTCACTTGCAGTAATGAGTCTAAAGTACATCAATAAAACCATAAAATTAAAAGAAAACATTTGTGAAAAAAGTTAGAAGCTAAGATTGTCAAGATAAATAATTTCTAATTGTAGTAGTTCCAGCAAAGGAAATGTGTTATTAACTTTATTTCACTTTATATTAGTGATTTTGCTACAGTTAGTGTTCAGTTATCGAAAATAATAGATAAATATAAAGTTTTACCAAAAAACCAACTTGATATTCATTTAGGAGGTTTTAGCAGCTATGAAAATGAAATATCAAAACTTAGAGATGAGAATAAGTATTTTTATTCTTAGCAGGAAAATCACTTTTCACAAAGACTAACCCAATTAAGGCTTCGTAAAAGAAACAGAATTGTAACAGTTACTAAGAGCTTGCCAAATTTTGTGAAGGTACACTTAGTTCATTCAGAATTATAGTATGTATAGTTTCACAGTTACTTGGTGGTTGCAAGGTTAGTCAAAGTGTCTGATTCTGTATACAGATAAATAAAGCCAACAAGAGTGAACTCATGGTCTGAAAGATGTCATAAAATTAAATGTTCTCAAGCAGTAGAGGTAGATGAATAGTCCAGTTAAGCAATGTATTTAATTACCTATGAGTATCAATTAGTATCACATAAAATAATCAATTAATTTAAATTATGATTAAGTTGATTAATCTCACAAAAACAATCAAGTGTTAATAAGCCCAACAATTAATTGAGTAGCAAATTCCACTCATTGCCCAGCTCTTTCATGTAGTATTTGCTTTTTCTGTTATCCCTGATATTGCAGTAACATACAATGTGAGACTGTGCATACCTTCATTACCAGGTCAGTATTTAGGCCTTGGTTTTCCTGTTATTCTCATTCTGCTGGTCAATCAATGTCCCTTGCTAAGTGCATGAGTTTTATTGCTTTTGCAAGCACCAATTTGGGTGCTGTTGTTTATTGTGTCATTGTTTGTATTCAATACATTAATTCCTGTTCATAGCCCTTTTTTTTGGGGGGGGGGTTCTGACTTAATAAGGCAGGCTAGTAATGGCAGGCCATTAGAGTGGGGCTGCCATTCATGAGGTGCAATCACAGTGGTTAATAGGCTATAAACAAACCCTTCCATTTTCAAGAATCCTCCCTAGCACAGGTTTTTTGCCAATCCTGCCTTATTTATAACTGGTATCTAGGCATCTTCATGTTTTTTCCACCCACTAATAACATAGTTTTACAAAATGTCCTCTTCACTTGATGATCTATCAACCTATCCAGTGTGCATGGCAGGTCTAAGTTGGCCATTGATCCTATATACAGATTCATCCACTCTAATGTTGAACAACTAGGCTGTGGGTGGTTTATCACTGAGACTGATATTACCAATAGACTGTCTCAGACTTGATGCTTTATAGTTATGTACATATATTAAAATAAAACTCAAGCTCACTGACATTAGATCTATAGTTAATCAAGTGGTAGTACATACTGTACTTGTACGTACAATTCAACTCACAGTAACAATAACAGTATATAAAAGCAAACACTAGATCTATAACTAACATATTTTAACATTACTTATGCCTATAACTGAATAAATTGCGAGTCATGAGTTGGTCATAACTCATTACTTCCAATACAATACCTTATCTCCATTCACACAGTAGCTTTTCTTAACTTTTGCTGCCCACTATATGCACAATTTCTACTCACCACTAGCCTTGATGCTACCACCTACTCTCACATGTTTACTTGCAGTATAGCTGTGCTGTAGCATGCAAATAAGCATGCTACTACCCTCCACCAGTAAGAGTGCGACACACCCTCCTAGTGCAGCTGACTTCATCATTTCTCGATTTGGCATTCCAGTATACAGTCATGCTAAACTTTGCTCTGCATTTCTCATGTGCCATTGCAGTTAACATTATTGTGTTTTGACAACTTAATTTGATATCATTTCTTTTCTACATACTTTCCTTTTAATTTCCACATCAGGAACTATCACTTTAATGTCACTACGACTACAGATCTGGCAGCTACATTGAGATTTTCCCAAGACCTCATTTCATGTCTTCAGCTACCCTTACCAATGTACTCTGATATCTTTCTTCCATTCACCTCTTGTCTGAGGCTATCCAGTGTTCCTCCTAGAGGTTTTTGGCGGATACACATACCTTTCTCTTTACCACATTGGCATGCTTATCTTCCTCAGCCTTATCCCTTCATTCTTGGCTCCTTTGTTGTTGAGATCTTCTTGACAAGGATGCCCTCTTGTCACATGTGTGTTTCCCTGCTTTCTATTTAAAATATCTCCCTTTTTGTACCAGTCAACATTCCTTCCTTTCCCAGCAATTACCTACTTCAATTTTTGTGTCTTGCCCCCTACTTTCTCCCCTCTACTAGTGTCTTTTTTCCTGGGTTTCAGTAGCGAGCTGCCAAATTGCTCATTGTTGTGTTTTCTGATGCAAGTTCTATCAGACTATCTTGTAAGTTCTGCCAATGTCAGGGCATGATTAGCCAGGTTTGTACATCTGTGGCATCCATTTGCCACAGATCCCTGGGTTCTTCAAGTTTTCTCTAAAGGACTCTCCTTTCATTTTTCTATCCCCCTGTTATCCACATGTCCCATTTCCTTCCCTTCTCCAAGGGGCCCTATTTCATGCCAGTGTCTCTCAGAAGTAGTTTTAGATCTTTTACACAAGGATGCTATGAAATAAGTATGTCATCCTTTTATGGGGTTCTATTCCAGGCTGTTCATGTTCCCCCAAAAGACTGGGGATTGGCTTCCTGTCATTGATCTATCCATCCCTTACTGCTTTCCTCACTGTTTGATGAACACCCATCCTGGATTTTTGGATGACAAAGGTCAGCATCTTGTGTGCCTTCATATCCCTATCTCCCCAACCTCCAAACATTACCTTAATTTTATTCATGGATACACACCACTCCATGTTGAGTCCTTCTAATCATCCCATTCTGACCTGCTTAACTGTGGTTTCTGATCCTACTCCTCCTTCGGTCATTCTCTACCACTTCTCCATTAACCTCACTTGCTTGAAGCATGGATTTTGTCCATTTCCTAGTGAGACGATCCTAACTCTCTACACAGGTGGCTTCCTTTCAGTCTTATTCAGCCTGCCCCTTTTTCTTGAATGTCTAGCAGAGGAAATGTTGTTGGTCTCTTCGATAATAATTTATCAGTACCTACCGTTATGAGCTATAGGATAGCCTTATCTAATACCTTTTGTTTCTCCCACTCTCATAACATTTTTGTCCCCTGTTTTGCTCCTTTCATTTAATTCATCCACCCTGTCCAATACCCCTGCTTGTCTGGAATCTCAATGTGGTCCTTCATGCCCTTACCCTTCCTCCATTTGAACTTTTGGCCACTTGCTTATTGTACCACCTTTTACTGAAGATGTATTTTTTTACTCGTTTTTGTATGTGGATATTGTAGGTCAGATATCTTCTCTATTGAAGTCTCCTGTATCTTTTGTTACCATACCTATGTTCTCCTTTATCTGGATTGTAGTTTTTCTGAAAAATGTCAAAAGCACGTTAAGAGGACATCACGTTCACATCTATTTCCCTTTCTTCCATCTCTCATTTGTATTCCCATGCTTTTCCTGATTGTTGTTTTTGTCCAGTACAAGCTTTATGTTGCCTTTTTGCTTCCTTCCATGGATCCTGTTCCCATCTACTTATACCATGGTATACTTCCTCTACCCATAATCTTTCTCTTGTCATCCTTACTGAATGGATTCACCAATGAGATTCAGATGTTGGGTGGTATATATCCGTATCCAACCATTATTCTCTCCCTTTTAGATGTGCTCCTCCCTTTTCTGCCCATGTCTGTGCCACCTCTTTCCACACTGGGCATAGAGTATACCTGGTATAGAAGTGGTTCTGTTTCCCGCGTATGATCCTCTACTGTGAGGATCCCCCTTTTAGGGTGTTCTTCAGGCATTTTTGTGGAATACTTCTTTGTCTTTCCTTTGCATTAGTCCCTCCACCTATTCCATGTGGGATTCTAGGTATTTATGTGAGCGGAGGTAATGTACCATATCAGAAGTTATAATTTTCCTATACTGAAAGTATTTCTGATAGCTACTTACTTTCTCTCTCACTTCCCACCCTTCCTCCCCAATATAAACTGGTGCTTCCATTTTCTGCCAGAACTTGAAGTGATAGTTCAGTAGAATAGAATAGAGGGAGTCACAGGCATCAGGAATGTGTAGCACTTTTATTGGTAGAGGGTTGTTACATGATGATTTACATATGAGATGCAGTTGAACTATTTGATGGTAAGGTACATGGGAGCTCAAGGCTTGTGGCATGCAAAAATATTTTTTGCATAAGTAAGTACCTATCATAAAGACATTTTCAGTATAGGAAATTTATAACGTTCACCCCCCACCCCCCACCCCCCGAGTACAGCATACCCGTAATTAATGACTTTACAATATAGGGTTGTAAAATCGAGATTTTATAGCTATTTTTGAAGAATTCTGTTTGTGTATGATATATTCTATTTTCAGAGTAAAGAACATAAATTTCATGAACATGGAGGTAGTGTTGACCAACTTTGTTGGCATCCTAGTCATCCTGACCAACTGGCGACAGCAAGCTTGGATAAAACAGTTCGAATCTGGGACTCAAGAGCTGCTAAATCAGTTGCTGTTGTACAAACTAAAGGTATTTAAAATAATGCATGATAGTTGTAAGAATCAGAAGAAAACTGTATTTTTTTAGGATCAGTGAGAAAATTAAATTTACATATAATTCAAGACTTGTATTAATAGATTTTACAATTCTGCTTGCATTTAAGAGTGTCCATTCCAGTGCAGTTTGGAATCTTTAGTTTTCTTCCTTAATCAGTAAGTTTTAAATAAATAGATAATGTGACATCAATGAGCCTTCAGGCATCAAAGATGTCCTGACTCCCAGCCTCCCTCAACAAACAGTAAACTAATAAGTCTTGATCCCCCACAAATATTCTTCAGGCCTATTGGAGAAATAAAAATACCTCAACTGGAGATTTCCAAATCTTATTTATGATGTATTGTGCTACTGCCCTCAGAGTTCAATACACCCAAAGCTGGTATAATCATCTTATCAATTCTTTAAGTGATCTCGAATGCTTTAATTACATCTACTCTGCCTTTTTTTCAAGAGAGAACATCCATCCCCAGAATCATCCAAGTAGCCCTCCTTTGAACCTTTTCTAAATATTTAGTTGGTTAACTATAAAAATATGTCAATGGTAATAGACCAAGCTATCTTTTGTCTATTTTCAACCAAAATTGAAATAGCAATAAAAAACAAATCTAACTTCTCTAGTTTTGTCAAAAATAGTTAAATACAAGAATGATCAACATTTTAACTTGGAGCTGTTTTTCAGGTACTCTTATTTTTGGAAAAAAATTCATACTTATGCCTGTCGTTCTCTTTGTTTTTGCAAATTTTGTTGTATGTATAATATTACATTTAAAAGAAGTATTATTCTACTCCATTAAGTCATGATATTATAACCTAGATGTTAATTTAAAGTATGTTTCTGATTAACTCAAGTCTCAGCATTTGACAGCAATTTAAGAATATGGTAGCCAACATGTCATGGTAATTAGGGCTCTTAACTCACAATCTGAGGATCATGGGATTGAGACCTGGCACAGAACATGCTCACCTTTCAGCTGTGGGGACATTATCATGTGTTGATCAATCCTACTATTCATTGATAAAGCGTAGCCCTAAAATTGGTGGTGAGTGCTTACTGGTCAGATTGCCTTCCCTCTGGTTGGAGCTCAAAGCTAGGGACAGACACGGATAGCAATAGCAGCTTGGACTTAAATAAACAAACAATAAGAATATGGAGGTATTATACTGATTTATTTTATTGAGGATTATGCAACACCTAAATCTTTAATATCTTCTTTTCTGAGGAAGACCAAAACTTTGTTTTAACTATTGGTAGTTAGGTATTAAACAAAAGTAACGGGTGTGTCTCTAGTATATGTTGTTAGGTGCTCAGAGGTTGCAAATGAATACAAACCAGTTTGACAAAGTAATGAATGTGTGTCTAGTATATGTTGTTTGGTACCCACAGACTTTCAAATGAATGCAAACTGATTTGACAAATTAATGGGTATGTTTCTAGTATATGTTGTTTGGTACCCACAGACTTTCAAATGAATGCAAACTGATTTGACAAATTAATGGGTATGTTTCTAGTATATGTTGTTTGGTACCCACAG